TAAATAAATAAAAATGTGCCAGATAGATAAAAATATAATTTATATATAATAGTTTAGCATAAAAAATATAGTTTAATATTACAAAGATTATGATTTTCAAAAAATTATAGTCTAATACATAAAAGGACTACGATTTTTTAAAAAAATCATAGTTTATATAGATAAAATTGTAGTTTAATATACCTATAAACTTTGATTTTTGAAAAAAATCATTGTCTATTATAAAAAAACTATAATTTTTTAAAAATCGTAATCTAATGGTTAAAAATAGTAATTTAAAAAAAGTTTTTTCAAGTTCCCTGGCTGCCCCACCCTAATCAACTGTGTTTTCTTTTTTTCCATCATAATAAAGAAATGAAAAGGAACAAAGATTAGAAACATCCCAATTGACGCCAACGCCAATTGGAGGAAGATTTCAGAAGTCTTTCAGGAAGTCTTTCACACATGATTTACGTGGTATAGCAATAACTTTGGATCTATTTGGTTGGATATTAAAATTAGTTTTAGTAAAATTAAAAATAGTGGTAGATATAAAATAGATTATCATAATAAAAAAATTAAAATCAGTTGTAAAATGTTTTTGAATACAAAAATTACGATGATAATGAAATGAATTATAATAAAAAAATGATTATTAAAGATATTAAATTAAAATAATATGTAATAAAAAATTTACATTATTTAATATTTATCAAATTAATAAATTATTATTAAATTATTTTTGTCAAATAATGATTTTATTAATAAATAATTAAAAGTTATTTATTAATTTCTTATATAATAATAAATTTTATTTTTTATTCAATTTACAAAATTATTTTACAATTTTTAAGTAAAAAAAGAAATAAAAAAAATTAAGTGATTAACTTGAAAGAGAAAAATAAATAAATAAAGGGGCAAATGAGTAGTAGAACCCAAAACTCCATTGAACGGTGAAAATCACATCACACTACAAAATTATTTGGATTGCATTTGACAAGTATGTCATTTCGACCTATTAAAAAAAATGTGAGTAAACAATAATAATCAAGAAATTAAAAAACACCGTCATACTTTCCCCACATGCTAAAAGCAAAAAAAGAGTAAAAAAACCCACTCATCACTATTATCTTTCTATCTCAAAAAAAGAAAAAGAAGAGTTTAAACTTTTTCTCTCATAAACCCCATTTTCCTGCTACGAGATCTTGACTTGATGACAAAAAAGAGATATGGTGGATTTGATCCAACTTTCAATTCAATTACACATTTGAAATTTGCCAAAAATTTGAAATCCCTTCTTCTTTTTAGCAAAATAAATGAATTTATTTTTAGACTTTTGAAAAGCGTGCTTGAAATTCATTACACCCTTCAAATACATCATCCAACAACCATAGCCTAGAAGAAGAAATTTAATAAGGGCTTGATCCCACTTTCAACAAGAAATATTAGTGTTTTCACATTTTAGGTTCTTTTAATTCTTTTAGTCATAACTTTATACTTAACACTCATTGGTTTAGAAATAAAAAAGGAGCCAACATTTCAATCAAATAACAAAGAAAGATAAAGTAGACAGAATGACGCAGATCTTCCTGCATTTAAAAAAAAAAAGGTGATAAAAGACAAATCAATTGCTTTAAGAAATGCAAACTTTCCAACTTTCAAACTTTCCAACTTTCAGAAAATTTGCATCATAATCATATTTTTTTATAAAGGCATTTGAGTCAAAAGAAAGACGATTATTAATCATATTTTTAATTATTTAATTATTACATTTGGTTATACAATATTTTCGAGTATCAAGAATGTAAGATTATTAGTAATATCAAATATCAAATAAATTACATACTAAATCGATATTCAAAATATTTTAACCACAAACCTCTTTTGACACTTATCTATGTTCATAGTTAAATTTCTTTGTTTTTCCTTTTTTAAGAAAATAGATTTAAATTTTATTTTAGAGAAAAAATAATACATCAATCAACGAATAAAATATTTCAATAATTTTTATTTTTCTTGCTTTGCATACCCTTTCAAATGCATTTTGATAAGCAAATATACAACATGTATGAATCCAAATAAATTTGTTTTGTCAAAACACATAAGCCCCGTTAATTTTCCTTCCATAAAAAAAAAAAAAAATTTTAAGAAGGATTAGTGCAAATAAAACTTGGAACTGAATTAAGCTCACTGCCATGCATAATGGATCTAGGAAATATACTTAGTGATGCAAATTAATATATATATATATATATACAATATTATGCATAAAAAAGATATAAATAAAAATTAATTCATGTAATAAAGATGGACATCTACGCTCATAGTAATTTAGTTTACTTAAGTTTTTATTTCTATTGAGTGCATGTTCTATCTTCATTTGAATTTTTTTAATGAAATATAATAATTAATGATAACTTTTGTCTATATTTTTTAAAATTTCTTAAGTTTTAAAATTAAAATATATTAAACAAATTTTTATTTTTAAAATTATTATTTTATTTTTAAAATTATTATTTTATTTTTAAAATAATTATATTTTATTATTTTTATTATTTAATTAATTTTAGTCTTATTTTTAAATAATTTGATAAATTTAATTCACATATAAAATTAGAAATTAAATAAATAAAATTGTGCCAGATAGATAAAAATATAGTTTATATATAATAGTTTAGTATGAAAAATATAGTTTAATATTAAAAAGATTACAATTTTCAAAAAATTATAATCTAATATATAAAAGGACTTCCATTTTTTAAAAAATCATACTCTGTGTAGATAAATTTGAAGTTTAATATACCTAAAAACTTTGATTTTTGAAAAAAATCATAGTCTAATATAAAAAGACCATAACTTTTTAAAAAGACAGTAATGTAATAGTAAAAAACCGTAATTATTAAATTTTTTTTCAAGCACCCTAGCTGCCCCCAATCAACTGTGTTTCTTTTTTTTCCACCACAGTAAAGAAATGAAAAGAAAAAAAAAAGATTAGAACATCTCAATTGACGCCAACGTCAATTGGAGGAAGACTTCATAAGTCTTTTAGGAAGTCTTTTAAAACTAGAATAAGAGTAATATCACACCCTACCTGCCCCAGCCTAGTTAGCTGCCTTTCTACGTAATAAAGAAAAAAAAACGTAAGAAAGGAAAAGACAAGAAAAAGGTAGAAACATCTAAAATTGACGCCAATGTCAATTGGAGGAAGACTTGAGATGTCTTTCAAGAAGTGTTTCACGTCATTCATGATTTACTTGGGTTTGCAATGATTTGATCACAACCTTGCGGTCTTGAGTTGACTCGCGCGTGTAACAGATTTACTAATTTATTATTGCCATGAAACACGTTAGTTTGTTAGTCTTTGTGGAAATTAACTGGAGAGGGGTTGAATAAATACCTGACCATCCGGGCTAGTCAATGTAATTTATACTTAAATAATTAATAAAATATATATTCCTTTGAACTATCCAAATCATGGCTTCTTTCTTAATATCATTGCAAGTTTTGTTGTCTTTCATGCTTGTATAGGTTCGGTCATCTTATGTTTATCTAGATGAAATTATAAAATATTATTTTTTATTTAATTAAACTTTATTTTACATAAAAAGTCAAGGAAATTTCAACATTTCACAAGCTCAAACTAAAATTTTAATATTTTAAATATAGTAGGTTCATTGTTAGTGTTAATTAACACAATTCCTTTATTTAGGATTATTACACAATTTTAATATATAATTTCAAGAAAACAAAACTTTTGAACACGAACATTTAGCTAATAATCACTGACCTACCTCCAATTCAAAAAAACAAAAAAAAAATAAAAAACATAAACAAAAAATGTTTGATACAAATGGAAAGAAGCTTTTAACCAAAAGTTTCCAAACAACAATGTTACTATCCAACGATACTGTGAAACTAAAACTCAAAAAAAAATTCCCTAATCTCTCTTTTTATGTTAATTTCTGATTAAATTCTCCCTCTACTATATTCAAGTGATTTGCTTTTGTTTAACCCATTGACCTTGCATATGTAAGAAGTAATTTATTTTTAAAAATTTAACTAATTTTAATTTTATTTATTAATGAAATGTCACCATTAGTGAATCAAATATTTAACCACATAGATATTAGACTGCTTAAACATTTGAATACAAAGGAGAGAAAGAAGGAGATTGAGAAAGCAAATTATACTCATACCAAGAATTATTATCCAAATTGTTAGCACCTAATTAGCCACAAACTCCATGACCAACAGTTCTCCCAATTTGTTGATAGTGAAAAGATTGGGAAATGGAAACTATTGACTGATAATGGCTCGAGCAACCTATTGCATGGTTGGCCAAAGTTGGGGATTGTCGTTCAAGTATGCAAATGCTACCTTTGTAGTAAATACTACATCCTCTACAACTTGGTTTTCTAGTGGTGAGAGATGCTGGTTTATCGCATCTTTAATAAATTTTGTAGGTCATTAGGTACCAAAGCCGATGTCGATGCCAAACGCCAATGATGATAAACATGATACAAGATCACCATGATGTCTTCCCATAAGAACTTCCATTATTAGAATTCCAAAACTATATACATCGCATTTCTCATCTACCTTCATTGTACAAGCGAACTTTGCTTAAAGAAACATATCTAATCAATGTGCTCTATTAAGCAACAAATATATCTAACCAATACAGTATTATATAAAAATATTGAGAAGATTATAAAATGTATGTTGAAAAGAAATTGCGAATGTTTAGAAGATTAGTTGAAAATTGAAATTCAAAGGTTCAAATAAAATTTTACAATCAGTTCATCAGTTTGATATGTTGAATATTGAAAAATTAAGTGTTAAACTTTAAAAATTAATTACTCATTTGATACTTGAATTATAGTCAAATTGATACTTAAATTTTGAAAAGTTACAATCATGATACCACGTGAACTTTGTTTTAACGCATCAATTTGCACACAAAAGTAACACTTTTAATTCAATGATTATATGTTTAAAGCATCTTTAAAAAAAAAAAGAGATCAATAAATACCTGGAACTATATATCCGAAAGTGCCAGCAAGTGAGGCCCAATTGAAAGTATCAGGCTTTAAAAGACTGGCTGTGCCAAAATCTGAGACATGAGCCTCATAGTCCAAATCCAAAAGAACATTGTTGCTGGAAATGTCTCGATGAATAATAGGTGATGAATGGTCATGATGCACATAGGACAAGGCATGGGCCACTCCTTTTACAACATTTAACCTCTTCTCCCAATCCAACTCCATTGCCTCGTCCTTTTTCCTTAACACCATTTTCAAACTTCCCGTTTCTACAAACTCATAAACCAAAAATGAGTTCTTTGGATGTGAACAAAAGCCATACAGCTTCACAATGTTACGTTGCCTTATTTCTGATAAACCATGAATCTCTCTTTCAAAGGCTTTCAAGTTGTTGGAAATCATGTTATTTTCAGATTGGTGAAGTATCTTCATTGCAACCACCTCACCAATGGGTAGCACAGTTTTATAAACAGCTCCATAGCCTCCTGAATGAAATTGTTGGAGCTGAAATCTTCAGTGGCTTCAATAATGTTCTCATAGAGTATTCTTCCATTATATCCCCACAATGTGAAAAAATCTCCAAGTTGTGCCTCCATTGACTCAGATTTTCTAGTTCGGTTCTTTTGGCAGAGAATAAAGAAACTTCCGGCCATGATAAATAGTAAAAGAAGAAGACCAAAGAGTGAAAGCACAATGAAAATGATGAACTTGGTGCTTTTTCTATGACCAACGTTGTTGCTAGCAGCAGCGACGACACAATGCATTAGTCCAGTGGCATTACCACATAGGCCGTTATTGTTTCTTAAGGTATCAAACGAAGCCTCATGAAATGCCTTAATGTTGGGTATAGGACCTACTAATTGATTGCAAGAGATATTCACAACAGTCAAGCTTTGCAAATCATTAAAAGAATTTGGGATGGAACCATTGCGCATATTGTGAGAAAGGTCCAACATTTCCAAGGAAAGTAATTTTGCAACCTGTTGTGGTATCTCCCCAATAAGTAAATTCTGACTTAAATCTAGATTTTCAAGACCATATATGTAGCTTATTGAAATTGGAATGCCTTCTCCAAGTTTATTCTTCTTCAAATTCAGGTTCAATAACTTAGAGCATTTTCCAAGTCGATTAGGAATTGACCACTTAAATTGTTTGATGCCAAGTTAAGATGTCGTAGGTTTGAAAGAACACCACTCTCTGATGAAATTTTGCCTGAAAGTTGGTTACCACTTAGCAAAAGATTGAACATCAATGTCAATGCTTCCAATTCCTTGGGAATCTCACCCATGAGATGATTTGAAGAGACGTCGACTTCTTGTAATTGAGTTGCATGTTTGAGCTCAGGTGGTATCTTTCTAGAAATGTTATTATTGGAGATTCATAGGCTTGTTAGACTATGGCACTGCCCGAAGAAAGTTCACCATAAAATTTGTTGTTGCTTAATGCAATATAATTCAAATTAGGATATATACCAAAAGCTTCTGATATATTTCCTGTCAACTGCTTTCCTTTAAGCCTAACTCTGTAAAAGCTTTTGCAGTTTCTTAAACTTGATGGGTTCAGACCCGTCAAATTGTTGTTGATAGCCCCAAGATATATGAGTTGTCCACCGAGGCATACATTCTCGTGTAATGGACCACCGAGATGGTTGTCCGATACTTGGAGTGATTCCAAATGAGTAAGATTGCTGAACGAAGGAATTGGCCCTGATAAAAGATATACAGAAGACTTAACCCCACAAGCTTCGTCATGTTTCCAATTGAAGCAGGGATTGAACCAGAAAACATATTTTGATCAAGGTAGAGAGTAGATAAGCTGGTCAAGTTTCCTATGGAAGCAGGGATTGAACCAGAGAAATTGTTATCAAAGAAAATAAGTTCTGTAAGAGATACAAGCATCCCTATCTCTTGAGGTATTGACCCGGAAAGCTTATTTTCAAAAAGGTAAAGAGTAGACAATTTGGTTAAGTTTCCTATGGAAGCAGGGATGACACCAGTGAGGTTATTACTTAACAACTGCATTGTGATAAGAGATCCAAGCTATCCTATTTCATTAGGGATAGAACCAGAGAGGTTATTACCATACAGATAAGCCATACCCAAGTTCCCTTAGGTTTCCTAGAGATTGTTGGACAGGACCCAGTTGGTTGGTTTATTGAAAGATTCAAGCATATCTGAGTGACTTCATCATCACCAACTTCTCTAGTATGGCACTCATTTGAGACTTATCGTCAACTAGGACAAGTTGGACCAATTATGCAATGCTTCCAATAGAAAAGGTATTGACATGGTGAGTTTGTTGCATCAAGGAAGTAGAGAAAAGTAAACTCAACCTTCGGATTTAGGTGGATACTTACAGAGAAATTATTCTGTGACAAGCCATAGACCAGGAGCTTGGAAGGCTGCAAACCTCTCCAGGAATAGAACCACGTAGATGGTTATAAGAGGAAAATATGCGGGAAATTGAACTCAACCTCCCTATTTCTTGTAGAATGGAACCATTGATCTCATATTTGATAAGGAATCAACTCAAGACTTTCAATAAGCCAATTTCGGATAGAATATTCCCAGAAAAAGAATTTTATGACAAGTGAAGTAGGTCAAATCAATATATAAAACAATAATTCTTACATATATGTAAAATTTTTTTTCATTTAATTTGATTCAAGCCAATCTTTTATCTAGTATGGAAATCCAATTCTTTTGCCCATTCATTTTTAATGTGTTCATGGTACCAATTAAATTTTAAGTCGGACTATAAGCAAGAATCATCAACATTATGGTACAATAAAAAAGACTTAAATGAGTTAAATAAAATTTTGTAAGTGAAACTTTAAAATCATACACATTTCAATATCAACTTTTAAAATTTAATATTATTTTATTTTTATTAGGATAAAAAATTAAAATTTTCATCGAATTTGGATAAGATTGACATCTTTAGTGTAATGAGAATAATTTAGAGTCTATTTAAATGGGTAATAAGATTGATTCAAGTAAAATTAAAAATAACGGTGAAATTAGATACTATATTTATTATATTAAAATCAATTGTGAATATAAGTATTTCGATGCAAATGAATCATTGAAGTGAGTTGAATTATAGTTAGAAAAGAAATAACCATTAAGGATATTAGATTAAAATTTATATATAATAAAAAATTTAAATTATTTAACATTTATAAAATTAATAAATAATTGAAAATTCATTAAATTATTTTTATATCAAATAATAACTTTATTGATGAATAATTAAAAACTAATAAAAATAATAATATATCAAATGATATTTTTCTTTATTTTTAATTAATGACATAGTTATCTATTTTTAGTTAAAATACTAACATAATATAATATAACACTAAATTTTATGTTTAGTTTATAATATAATATTTAGTTAATCTTTTATATAACATTAAAATTTATAAAATAATAATTTTTAATTAAAAATATAATAATAATTTTATTTATTTATAAGTTTATTATATAATAAAAATTTTCATTATATTAAATTAAAAAATTATTTCATAATTTATTAATTAAATTAAAAAAGAAAAGCAAAAATATCAATCACCACCATACCCTTTCCGCCTTTCCCATCAATTGAGTTTAAGTCTTACATTGATGCCATGTAAACACAACCAGATCGGGCCTTTTTGATCCAAACGACAAAGTACAGTAACACCAATTCATTTTAAATGAGGTTTTAGATGAAATTTTGTAGGTAAAATTTGGGAATTTTTTATTAAAAATATTAAATAAAAATTTATAAAAAAAATTAAATTGATGAATTAAAAAAATTATGTTACATAAATTAAATTAAATTCAGCATCTAAAATAAAAGCATAAAAAAAAATTATGAGGCATCCGATTTAACAATAATTGATCTTAAACAAAGAGTTTTTTCATAATAAAATAAATTATTATATTGTTTGATATCAATAAAAACAACAATAGCAACTAGATACAAAAATTTATAGTATGAATTGTATGACGTATAATTTTATAACAATATTGGCTAGAATTTTATAAATTATAACAATAATATGATTTATTATTGATTTTATGACATATAACATTATTATCAAATTCAATAAATGCAAAAGATACGTAAATAGTTTTGATAACGAAAAGTAAAAAAAAAAACCATACAATTTTAATTTCTTATTGAGTGATTGAGCCAACAAATTCCAGGAAAACATTAAATTTATTCACATAAATTCAATATAAAGTTCTCTTACTTTAATGATCTTTTTTGATTTAAATTGAAAAAATCTTATCATAATTTTTTACCAAAAAAACATTGCCTATGTTAATTTATTAATGCATAAATTTAAGAGAAAAGTTTGAAGAAATTAAAACATAGTAAATATTGTTATTATTATACATCTGTTTTGAAAAGAAAATTTCCAGAACAATGATAAATATATATGTTTTATTATTATTGAAAAAATAATACATTGGATATTGACTCAATCCATAAGAGATTTTTTAAAATTTGTTAGAGATTTTGTTTGATTGTCAGAATTGCTTTATGACAAGAAGACTGTAAAAGAAGAATTCTAGAGAAAGAGGATTCTTAATAGGTAAGTTTGACTTGCAAGAGAAGAATTCTAAAAGGAAAGGGATTCTTAATAGGCAAGTTTGACTTACATGAGAAGAATTCTAAGAGGAGAGGGATTCTTAATGGGCAAGTTTGTATGGTTATAAATAGGTGAAGTCTCTACAAGGTTAGGTATGAGAAAAAGATGTAAGAGAGTTGTAGGATTTTGTGGGATAGACACCCCATAGGAGTATTGGGACTCTACGTCTTATGGGTGTGTATGTTTGTTTGTGAGTGGACTAGAGAAGACTAAGAGGGTCCACATAGGTATGATGTATGAGAGCATATGGGTATCTGTTTGGTTATGTTGAAAGGGTGCACAAAGGTTTGGGTTTGTGTTTGTTTGGGTAGAGAATACTTCATAGGACTAGAGGAAATTGAGAGTGTCTTATGAGTATTGATTGTTGAGTGGGGTTGATGATATGATGTATGTTTGTAATTCTCTACAACTAGTGGATCTTATTTCTCATCCGTGGATGTAGGTCAATTGGACCGAACCATGTTAAATTGTTGTCTCTTGTGTGTTTGATTTATTGTTTGATTTCGCTTCGCTGGTGTGATTGGATTGGAGGCTTTTAGCCCAACAAATGGTATCAGAGCAGTGGTGATCCCCAACAAATGGTATCATAGCTGTGATGTTTCCCAACAAGTGGTATCAGAGCTGAAGGTTCGAAACATGAGAAGAGTTGAAGATTCAAGATGTGAAAAGAGCAGAAGATTTGAGATGTGAAATAGCTGAAAGTTTGAGATGTGGGAAGAGCTAAAGATTTCAGATGTGGGAAGAGCTTGGTTTAAGACATGGGAAAAAGTAAGCTTAGAGGAGCTCGATTCAAGAGAAGAGTTCGAGTTCAAGTTTTGAGGATTGAAGATCAGTTTGTATGAAGCGTGAAAACACAAGAGAAGAGAAGATGATTGTGAGACTTTTATTGCAGGTGGAGCTAAGCATGTCTAGCATGAAGACAGATGATTGATGGAATTTGAGTCAAGGTGGAGATTGTTGGGAATATTGACTCAAATCCCGTAAGAGATTTGTTTAAGATTTGTTAGAGATTTGTTTGGGATTTGTCAGATATTGCTTTATGGACAAGAAGACTTGTAAAAGAAGAATTCTAAGAGAAAGAGGATTCTTAATAGGTAAGTTTGACTTGCAAGAGAAGAATTCTAAAAGGAAAGGGATTCTTAATAGGCAAGTTTGACTTACATGAGAAGAATTCTAAGAGGAGAGGGATTCTTAATGGGCAAGTTTGTATGGTTATAAATAGGTGAAGTCTCTACAAGGTTAGGTATGAGAAAAAGATGTAAGAGAGTTGTAGGATTTTGTGGGATAGACACCCCATAGGAGTATTGGGACTCTACGTCTTATGGGTGTGTATGTTTGTTTGTGAGTGGACTAGAGAAGACTAAGAGGGTCCACATAGGTATGATGTATGAAAGCATATGGGTATGTGTTTGGTTATGTTGAAAGGGTGTACAAAGGTTTAGGTTTGTGTTTGTTTGGGTAGAGAATACTTCATAGGACTAGAGGAGATTGAGAGTGTCTTATGAGTATTGATTGTTGAGTGAGGTTAATTATTTGATGTATGTTTGTAATTCTCTACAATTAGTGGATCTTGTTTCTCATCCGTGGATGTAAGTCAATTGGACCGAACCACGTTAAATTATTGTCTCTTATGTGTTTGATTTATTGTTTGATTTCGCTTCCGCTGGTGCGATTGGATTGGAGGCTTTTAGCCCAACAATATATTCTTTATTTTGTAAGCTAAATTGAGATATAATGAAGTAAAAAACTTAGAATTGAATTTATTTTATATAAGATTCTTATATGGAGTTTTGATTCTTATAATATTTTATTTAATATCTTTGAATCAAGTTATTTGATAATTAAATTGAAATTATAACTTTAAAATCCATATTGATTTTTAAAATATAAATAAATTGATTGAAAATTTTTAATCAAATTATTAATTTTTACACTAACTAATTATTAGTTCCACCAGCAAATATTTTTCCATGTTTATGCTACAGGAAGATATGATATTAATTTTTTTTCGGCCATAATCGTTTGCAGACTCGAGAATTGGTTGAGGACTTGAGATCTTCAAGTGGCAAACTAGGTGCTGATAACCAGACTTTACTGAGAATATTATGCCACAGGACAGATTCAGAGGCATCCCAATTTGTCAAGAAGCAGTATAAGATGCACAGGTCTTCTGCGTAGGCTGATACTTGCATCTTGAAGTCGACTCAAAATCGGCAAGTTATGCCATTTTTAAATTAGTTTGTTCTCTTCTTTGTATGTGTAAATGATTCACATTTGACACGTCTGTTGGAGATGGAAACCATACCCCGAATGCTCCACGGCCAAGTAGAAGTGTTTTGAGCCAAGCCTATTTGCTACATGAACTGCCATTGTTTGGTTATCAGTAGTCCTTAAATTGGAAAGCGAATTTCTTTGTCCTAACTTTTGGTTTATCTCATTAGAATTTATTGTAAAAATTTTTCCAAAAGTAATTAATATAGTTTACTTAATGAATTAGTAAACACATCCTATCCAAAAAAAATGTACCAAATATGCATTCCTACTACATATTCCATGTTAATATGGTAACTTTTGTTTTATTTCCATTTTTTTAACTTTTGATTTTTATTAAAATCTCAAAGTTTTTGGTTTAATGCTTATTGTGTCTCTCTTATGATGGAAGAAGGCGTGAACCAGGTTTACAAACCCACACTCTTTCCCTTTCTTCCCTCATGCTTGTACCCAAAAAAAATAATAATAATAATAATAATAATAAAGGGCTTTGAATTTTAATTAGCAAGTGCCAAATATTAAAAACAAAACTTGAAAAAGCAGATGGGAAGGGTAACGACCATACATGGATTCCAATGGTTCATGGGGCAATGATGGCTCCACCAAATGTGATTCATATATTTTCACTAATTAGCAAGTTGAACTTATCCATAAAAGAAGAATACTGTCCATTTATTTAAGTCTTTTTGTATTCTATCTTAAGAAAAAATACCAGCGTTACACGGTGTCATTTATGATTATTAAAAGATGTAATTTTTTTCAGTTGGTATTAAAGAATATTTTTAATGTTTTTGTGATATTAATTTTTTTTCTTATATTTGGAGTATATATTCACATAAGATAATCTGTTGGACGCAAGAAGAAAAATAAAGAGGCATAGCAGTATGACTATTAGTATTGTAGGATGTAATTCCAATTGAATTGAGTTGATGGATTGTCAAGTTTGATTTAAAAATTTGAGGTTCAAAATTTGATTTGAATTAGATCGAATTTTATTTTTCATGCTCTAATATAGTTCATAATTTAATTTTTCCATTCAAGTTTGGCTCAATAAACTCAATTAAGTTAGGTAAAATTATAAATATGTTAAACACTAATTTTGTTATTTACTTGTATATACATTAAATATATTAAAAATAAAAGTCTTATTAGACTCTCGAATTTGTCGACTCCAGTATTAAACTACTCAAACTAAGTTTGACTCACTATTTAAGTAACTCGAGTTTGAGTTTAATTCGACAATAAATAAATCAAATCGAATAATTCACAAGTAACTTGATTTGTTTTGACTCTTATAACATTGTTTTTGAATCATAATTTGAAAGACTTATACACATGTTTGTGAGAAAGAAAAAGAGTAAGAATGACATACCAAATCAAAATCAATTTTTGTTGGACTCAGTTTTAACTCAGTTTATATTCTTTAAAATTTGCTATATAACACAGTTTATATTCAATTTATTTTTGAAATTTGCTTTGTCTTGTTTAAATCACAACACAATAATAATGGTAAAAGAAATTTCGTTTTTTTTCCTTTTTTGGGACATTATGAAAATACAAATCATTTTTAATTATCTTATTCACGTGTACAAATTTTTTTTAATTGGGCAATTAAATCATTAAAATAAAATTTATTTAAAAAATTCTAAATATTCAAAACATATATTTTTCTTATCAAACATAAAGAAAAAAAAAATAATTGAAAGAGTATTTTTCTTTAAAAAAAAAAAAGAAGGTAAAACATTAGCCTCAAAGCCAAATGCCAAAACGTTTTTTAATTGAAAATAAGTTCGAAAAGTAGTGAAGTAACCTATATCAGGAAAAATGTTTTGGATTGTTGATCTGAACCTTTTTAAGTTACAACCGTTGATTTGCTCATAAAAAAGCCATTTTTCCTTTTATTCTAAATTTGACATTTTGTCAATGATTCTGATGCTTTACTTTGTATTTTTCATGGTTTTGTTTGGTTTAAAATATCGTACCGATTTTTAAATTTACAAAGATTTGATTCGTAATGGGTTTTGCTTGTATGGGCCTTTATGGCATGTTTGGTCATTATTTTTAGAAGGGAAATTTGATTATTAAGGATGGGTTTTCTTCATTGTTTTTGAACATTTGCTTTGATCAAATTTCCACAAAATTAAGGTTGTCTTGACATGGAATTTTGGTTTTGTTTTCGGTTCTGTCTTGTCTGAATTTTTTTGGTCAAAGAAATTTTTTTGGTTATAAACTTTTGTCACATGATTGGTGAGTGAAACTTTTGTCTAGTAATTTTGGTCGGTTTAAACTAGTATTCATTTGTAGTTTAAAAGATACGATTTTCAATAGAATTTTGTCTGACCGGCTTGTATTGAATAAGATCATAGAAAAGTCTTTGGCTGTTCTTGAAGGAAATGACATAGTTTTCCTCTGGTACTCTGTTTTTATTATTGTTTTATTTTGATTCTGTGTTTGCTGCTATCCATTTCGTGGAATTGAGCATTACTGATCATGTGAAATGGGCCTTGTAGGGTTATTTTCATCACAATCTGGTAAATTTTGAATTAGTTAAAAACTCATCTCTTTCAATCTTTTCTGTTTGGATTGCTGAAATTTGGTTTTAACGTACTTGACATTGGGATAGGTCTCAATCGATTTTTGAGTTCTTCAAGATTGATCTACTGTTTCTTCTTACTCTAAGGACATTGGTTTCATTGCGAATTACCTCTTTTTCTTTTTTTTTTTTACATTTCCATGTTGATTGCAGTTGCAGAATGTTTCTGAAGGTGCAGTTGCCAATAGTTCCTGCTGACAGCTTGGATGCCAAAGGCTTGATGCTCCAAAAGGCTATAGTGGTCCGCCTTTTGGACGAATTTGCTCGGAAGAAGGCCACCAAGGATCTTGGATATTTCCTGACTGTAACAATTCGGGAGAGCATTGGGGAGGGCAGAGTTAGAGATAACACTGGGGATGTGCTTTTCCCTGTTGACTTCAGTGAAATCACCTTCAAGATGTTCAGAGGAGAGATTTTGGAAGGAGTTGTACACAAGGCACTAAAACATTGAGTTTTCTTGAAGTGTGGACCAATCCAAAACATATATCTTCATGAATGACAAGCACTCGAAGATTGAGAAGGATGTTGTCATCCGATTTATTGTGATCGGAACAAAGTGGATGGAAGCAGAGAGGGAATTTCAAGCATTGGTAAGTTTGGAAGGTGACTACTTAGGACCAGTTTCCTGAATATAACTTTTGTTTCATCTTTGTATGATTCGGAGATATAATTGTTACTGCTTTCTTAGGAAGTAGTTGACAGTAAGAGTGTTGGATGTTGAACTATTCTAGTTGTTGTAAATTCTATTGGACAAAGATGTTGAATTCTAGAGCTTACTTATGATGTTAGCTTTGTATAACTTGGTCCAGTTAAATCGGTTTTCGGTTTTTTAAGTTTTTCAAAACTGAATTGAAGTGACCAACTGAACAATTGCTCACCCCTAGTCAAGTCTAGCTTTCCATTTCAGAAGGGTTTTTGTTTCAATGGATGGAGCAGTAGCTAAAGAAGTAGTTTGAAAGGATACCTAAGGCAAAGACTAGTGTAGATTGAAGCAATGCAAGGATGAGAAAGAAGAAAAGTTGGGACATAGAAAAGATGATACCATTATTAAATTGATCGAAAAAGCTTTGTTGCACGAAATTACCTTTGGCTTGCACACACAGCTATATATGTAAGCTGTGAATATAAAGTAGTGAAGGTAAATATATTTATTTATTTAGAATCAAAATCAAATTGGTTTCACATTTCTACATTTGTTATAGAGAAGAATTAATGGAAGTAATTGCTAAAACCAAGAACTCCTCCAAACAAATGGTACATTGTTTCTTGGAACTCAAATCCTCAAGTCTTATCCTTTTCTTCATGAGTAAAAGACTATCTTATCGTATCACCAAATTTTATTTTTTTCAAAATTTGAATAGGAGACTAACTAGCAAGCTTGAAATTCAGTGTCATCAATGACTCATCAATCACATGGATTTTTCATATAAGCCTCCATCCTTCTATTATATCTAAGTCCTTAAAAAATTTATTTTTGTCTAATCCAGTCTGAGATAATTTTGTTTCATTAAGCTCTTTTTCTTAGATGAAAATTGCAAAAATTAATATTATTTCTTGCCAAATCAAAATATATGTCGTATTTCTTTTTATGATACCAACATCTACATAGCATATCTTGAAAATAAAAAAACTCTTTAGATGTTAACGTGACCTATTATATGAATCATTCATTACATATTATCTAAATGACAGTTCAACTTAAATTTTTATATTTTGGAATCCATAAATTGATTTAACAACGACAATTGTTACCATTGATATGGTAAAAATAATGAATGTGGTTTTTATGTAAAATAAAACTTAATTAAATAAGAATAATGTTTTATGCTTTCAATTGGATAAAAAATAGATAAAAGTTTGAGAAAAGTACAACATTTTTAGCATTTTAGTGAAAAAAAAATACAAGTTATATGTATATTCTTCAAAATCGCCACTCAAATCCGTTTTAAGTGTACTCAATGCAATTATAATTAAATTTTGAATGATTTAAAAGGCAATGAATGATGAAAGGTTAGAAAGATGAAATTCAGAGAAATAATATGTATGAGTATATATAAAAATAAATGGCAAGTAAATAATAAAATCAAAAGGTTATTGTGCGAAGTTGTGTTTATTGTAATTTGGTGTGCTCACCAATTGTATTCTTTGTTTGTTCAAACAAATAAAAAAATGATATTAGAATTGCTGCGGCATTCCAAAGTGAAAGTACTGTAGCAAATCGATACCATAGTAGAATATTACAAATGATACTGAAAGTCAAAATTTTAAGTATGGCCGTTAGTTACATTTTAAAATAGAAAATCTTGAACATACAAATTGAGTGCTTAAACACAGTTATTCTATATCACTGGATTAAACACAGCTGTTCTATATTATAGTTGATTTACTACAAAAGCTTTATTACTAGAGTGCTTGAACATTTCAATACAAAGAAGAGAAAAAGAAATAGATTGAAAGCAAATATTCATGCTTAGAATTATTATTTAAATTGTTAGCACCTTAATATTAGCCACTACAGACTTCATGATCCCACAATTCTCCCAATTTTATGATTGAGAAAGGATTGGGCAATGGAAGCGATTGACGGGTAAGGGCTTGAGCAACTTGTCGCATGGTTGGCCGAAGTTGGGAACTGACATTCAAGCATGCTAATGCTAGCTTTGTAGTTGAGACAACATCATTTGCAACCTGCCTTATTGGTGGTGAGAGGCGTTGGTCTATCACATCTTTAAATAAAATCAGTTGCTTGTCATTTGGTATCGATGTCGATGCTGATGCCAGTGTCGACGACGATGGCAAGCATGAAATCAAATCACTAGGATATCTCCCCATAAGTATTTCCATTGTTAGCACCCTAAAACTGTAAACATCACATCTCTCATTTACTTTCATTGTATAAGCCAACTCTGCTTAAAGAAACATTTCTAATCAATGTGCTCTATTAAACAATAAATATAGCTAATCAAATACACTATTATGTAAGAATATTGAGAAGATTATAAAATAACATTGAAAAGAAATTGCAAATGTTTAAAAAATTACATGAAAATTGAAATTTAAAGGTTTAAATAAGATTTTATATTTAGTTCATCAGTTTGATATATTGAATATTGAAAAATTAAGTATTAAACTTCAAAGATTAATTACATTTGATACTTGAATTAGAGTAAAATTCTTTGAAACTTAAATTTGAAAACTTACAATCTTATGTGTTAAACTTCAAAGATTAATTGCACATTTGATACATGAATTAGAGCAAAATTTTTTGGTACTTAAATTTGAAAAGTTGCAATCTTAATACTACTTGAACTTTGTTTTAACGCATCAATTTGCACACAAGACTAACACTTTTAATTGAATGATGACATATTTAAAGCATCTTAAAAATAGAAATATAAACAAATACCTGGAGCTATGTACCCGAGAGTGCCAGCAAGTGTGGTCCAATTGGAAGAGTCGGGCTTTAAAACTCTTGCTGTGCCAAAATCTGAAACATGAGCCTCATAGTCCAAATCCAGAAGAACATTGTTGCTGGAAATGTCTCGATGAATTATAGGTGGTGAATGGTCATGATGCATATAAGACAAGGCATTGGCCACTCCTTTTACAACATTTAACCTCTTCTCCCAATCCAACTCCATTGCCTCGTCCTTGTTGCTTAACACCATTCTCAAACTTCCCCTTTCTACGAACTCATAAACCAAAAATGAGTTCTTTGGATGTGAACGAAAGCCATACAGCTTCACAATGTTACGATGCCTTATTTCTGATAAAGCATGAATCTCGCTTTCAAAGGCTTTCAAGGTGTTGGAAATCATGCTATCTTCAGATTGGTGAAGTTTCTTCACAGCAACCACCTCACCAATGGGTAACACAGCTTTATAAACAGCTCCATAGCCTCCGGAACCAATGCAATTGGTGAAGCTGAAATCTTCAGTGGCTTCAATAATGTTCTCATAGAGTATTCTTCCATTATATCCCCACAATGTGAAAAAATCTCCAAGTTGTGCCTCGATTGACTCGGATTTTCTGGTTTGGTTCTTTTGGCAAAGAATAAGAAAACTTCCAGCCATGACAAAGAGCAAAAGAAGAAGACCAAAGAGTGGAAGTACAATGAAAATGATGACTGGCTGCTTTTTATATGACCGTTGCTAGTAGCAGCGACAGCACAAGGCATTAGTCCAGTGGCATTACCACATAGTCCCTTATTGCTTCTTAAGGCATCAAATGAAGCCTCATGAAATGCCCTAATGTTAGGAACAGGGCCTTCTAATTGATTGTAAGATATATTCACAACAGTCAAGCTTTTCAAATCATTAAAAGAATTTGGGATGGAACCATTCAGCATATTGTGCGAAAGGTCCAATATTTCCAAGGAATGTAATTTTGCAAGCTCCTGTGGTATCTTCCCAATAAGTAAATTCTGACTTAAATCTAGATTTTGAAGGCCATTTATGTAGCTTACTGAAAATGGAATGCTTTCTTCAAGTTTATTCTTGCTCAAATTCAGGTCCAATAACTTTGAGCACTCTCCAAGTTGATTAGGAATCGGTCCACTCAAATTGTGTGATGCCAAGTTAAGATATTGTAGATTTGAAAGAACTCCAATCTCTGGTGGAATTTTGCCTGAAAGTTGGTTACCACTTAGCAAAAGTTTGTACATCAACGTCAACGCTCTCAATTCCTTGGGAATCTCACCAATGAGATGATTTGAAGAGACATCGAGTTCGTGTAATTGAGTTGCATGCTTCAGCTCGGTGGTATCTTTCCAGAAATTTTATTATTGGAGATTCTTAGGCTTGTTAGATTATGGCATTGCCCCCAGTTTGGCGAAAGTTCACCATAAAATTTGTTGTTGCTTAATGCAATATAATTCAAATTAGGATATATAACAAAAGCTTCTGATATATTTCCTGTCAACTGGTTTCCTTCAAGCCTAACTCTGTACAAGCTTTTGCAGTTTCCTAAACATGATGGGATCGGACCCCTGAAATTGTTGTTGATAGCCCCAAGATATACGAGTTGTCCACCGAGGCATACATTCTCAGGTAATGGACCACTAAGATGGTTGTCTGATAATTGTAATGATTCTAAATGAGTAACATTGCTAAGTGTTGGAGGAAGGATGCCAGACAAACTGTTCTCAAATAAAACAAGTTCTGTAAGAGATACAAGCATCCCTATCTCTTGAGGTATGACCCGGAAAGCTTATTTTCAGGAAGGTAAAGACTAGACAATTTGGTTAAGTTTCCTATGGGAGCGGGGATTGAACCAGAGAAATTGTTATCCGATAAAATAAGTTCTGTAAGAGATACAAGCATCCCTATCTCTTGAGGTATTGACCCGCAAAGCTTATTTTTAAAGAGTTTAAGACTTAACAAATTGGTTAAGTTTCCTATGGAATTAGGGATGACACCAGTGAGATTATTACTTAACAGTTGCATTGTGGTAAGAGATCCAAGCTGTCCTAGTTCATTGGGAATAGAACCAGAGAGGTTATTACCATACAGATAAAGCCATACCAAGTTACTTAGGTTTCCCAGAGATGCTGGGATAGGACCAGTTAAGTGGTTCACTGAAAGATCAAGCATAACAAGTGACCTCATCATTCCAACTTCTTTAGGTATAGAACCACTGAGCCTATTGTAAAAGAGGTCAAGTTGGGACAAATTGTGCAAGCTTCCAATAGAAATAGGTATTGGACCAGTGAGATCGTTTTCATGGAGATAGAGAATAGAAAGTGAACTTAACAACCTTCCTATGTTAGATGGAATATTTCCGGAGAAATCATTCATGGACAAGTCAAGTTCGGTGAGCTTGGAAAGGTTTCCAATGTGTGAGGGAATGGGCCCATACAGTGAGTTGTTAGGAAGGTGAAGACCCATGAGGTTGGGGAAGGACAAGAAGTTGAGACTATGAAGTGTACCTTTGAACCCATAATCTGGAAGGCTTAGATTGGTGATGCTTCCAGCCTTGTTGCAAGTGATTCCGACCCAATTGCAATGCTTGTCTCCAACCCACAAAGAAGAGAGCAAAGTTTGGGTGTTGTTGGCAAGGCTAGCTTTCCATTTTAGAAGAGTTTCTGTTTCATTTGCAGCAAAGGAGGATGAAGAAGCAAGAACAGAGAGAGGCCAATGCAGGATGACTATAAGGAAGAAAAGGGCTTTGAATGGTATTATGAAAGATGCCATAATTTGGATGGTTCAAAAAGGAGTGTTTGTTAGTTGTTGTAAATTACATTGGCATGGTCAGGTATTTATGCAAAAAACTAGAGTATTTCAGTCACTATGAAACATCCACATCATGTGGAAACACGCAACTTCAAGACCGGAAACTTTTACGTTTATATATTATCCCTGGAAACGAATTTATTTTTTGACTTTGAAAAGCTTGCTTGAAATACATAACACCCTTCAAGTACTTCATCCACCATAGCCTAGAAGAAGAAATTAGTAAGGGCTTGATCCCAGTTTCAGAAAGAAACAGAGGCTTATATCGCTTTCGCAAAATCATGCTGAGAAATATTAGTGTTTTCACATTTTGGGTTCTTTTAATTTTTTAGCCATAACTTTATGCTTAACATTCATTGGTTCAATAATAAAAAAGTAGCCAACATTTCAAAAAGAAAGAAAAAGCAGACAAAATGACGCAGATCTTTCTACTTTTTCAAAAGAAAAGAAAAGGTGCTAAAAAACGAATCAATTGCTTTAAGAAATGCAAACTTTCCAACTTTGAGTAAATTTGCATCATCATCATATTTTTTATAAAGGCGTTTGATTGGAAAGAAAGAAAATTATTAATAGTATTTTTATTTTTGATTATTTGGTTATTACATTTGATTATTTGATTAAAGAAAGAAGATTATTATCTCATATTATAGAATATAAGACTTAATATGTTGTTATTTTTATTATTACATTTAGTTATACAATATTTTTGAATAGTGAAAATGTAAGATAATCAGTAATACCAAAATAGAGCTTCAATATCAAACAAATTACATGCTAAAATGACACCAAAAATATTCAAATCATTTAATCTCTTTTAACACCTAATTACGCTTATAGTTAAATTTCTTTGTTTTTCTTTTTTAAAAAAAATAAATTCAGATTTTATTTCAGAAAAGGAATAAAGCATCAATCAACTTAATAAAATATTTCGACAATTTTTATTTTTCTTACTTTGCATGCCCTTTTAAATGCACTTTATAACCAAATATGCAGTATGCATGAATCCGAATAAATTTGTTTTGCCAAAATACATGACCACCGCTAATTTGCCTTCCATAAAGAAAGAAAAATAAAATTTTAACGAGGATTAGTGCTTGAAACTGAAATAAACTCACTGTCATGGATAACGGATCCAGGAATTATAATTGGTGAGGCAAATTAATATATATGTATAATATTATGCATAAAAAAAGATGTAGAGAATTAAAAATTAATTCAAGTGTAATAAAAATGGACATCTAGTTACACTTATGGTAATTTATTTTACTTAAGTGTTTATTTCTATTAAGTATATGTTTTTACTTCATTTGAATTTTTTAATAAAATATAATAATTAATGATAACATATTCATATATTTATAAATTTCTTTTAATTATTTAAAATTAAAATATATTAGAAAAAAATGAAAAGAAAAAAAAAGATTAGAAACATCTTACTTGGAGGAAGACTTCATAAGTCTTTCACGTTATTCATGATTTACGTGGTCTTACAATCACTTTGGATATATTTGGTTGGATGTTAAAATTAGTTTTAATGAAATTAAAATCAGTGATAGATATAAAATAAATTATTATAATAAAAAATTAAAATTAGTGGTAGAATGTATTTGAATACAAAACCAATGATGATAATGAAATGAAATATAATGAAAAAAAAATCATTAAAGACGTTGGACTAAAACTATATGTAATAAAAAATTTAAATTATTTACTATTTATAAAATTAATAAATTATTAATAAATTATTTTATGTCAAATAATGATTTCATTAATAAATAATTAAAAGTTATTTATTAATTTATTGTATAATAAATTTTATTTTTATATTAAATTTCCAAAATTATTTTCTAATTTTAAGTAAAGAAAAAAGAAATAGAAAAAAAAAAGTGATTAACTTGAAAGGGAAAAAAAAAAAAAACAAATAAAGGACGATTGTGGACTAGAACTCAAACTCCATTGAACGGTGGAAATCACGTCACACTAAAAAATTATTTGGACTGCAAAGTTACGGGTGACAATTTTTTATGGCAACTGCATCTCTATTAGCCAATATACGGCAACTGCATCAATTATGGAGCTTTGAATGGAGTTTATGTATCTTTATTAAGGACACCCATATGTTCAAAGGTTTTTTAACCAAATATATGTTCAAAGTTCATTTACTTTCTTAGGCAAATAAATTCGATGACATATACTAGCTAATACAAATTATATATCTTAAGTTTTCTCATTTATCAAAAAAATAAAAATGAAATATGTTTTTATTTTTTATTTTTCATTGATCAATTGTTAATTTAAAATATTTAATGAATAATTAAGTCCTAATAAAATACATTTAATTTTTAAATATTATTATATAAATGTCATAAAAATTATAATTAATTTATTTATCTTATGCATGGCACTGACTTAAAACCAGAAAAAGAGCAAAATATGTACCACTCACACCCCACCAGCCCCACCTAGCTAATTGCCTTTCTCCTTTTCCCACCCTGATAAAGAAAAAAAAAAACACGAAAGGAAGGAAAAGAGAAGAAAAAATAGAAACATCAAAAATTGACGCCAACGTCAATTGGAGGAAGACTTGAGAAGTCTTTCAAGGACTGTTTTACATCATTCATGACGTGGGTTTGCAATGATATGATCACACCCTAACATGTGCTGAATCAATGCCGACATGTTTTCACCACATTCATAACTTGCGATCTTGAGTTGACTTGTTCGTGTAACACATTTACTAATTTATTATTGCCATGAACATGTTAGTTTATTAGTCTTTAATAGGGTGTAAATGATACATTAGTACTCGCAAGCCACTCGGGTTCGATTCAAAAAAAACTCGAATTCGGTTCGATTATTATCGAGTCGAGCTCGAGCTCGAGTAGCTCGACTTATCGATCGAGCCGAATTCGAGTATTCTTATATCTGACTCGAGTAGCTCGCGAGCTTAATCGAGCTTTTATATTTAAATATATTTTTATTATTTTAATTAATAAAATATTTCGAGTTCGAGTTTGAGTTCGAGCTTGAATAATCGAACTCTTATCGAGTATACGAATCGAGCTTATTTTTACATATTAATCGAGCTTAATCGAGCGAGCTCGAGTAGCTCGAATTCGATCACGAATCGAGCTCGAGCTTGAAAAATAAAACTCGATCGAGCTCGAATCGAGTATCGAGCCCCGAATTGTGAGTCGAGTTCGAGCTCGAGCTTCTCACTATTCGACTCGGCTCCGCTCGTTTACAGCCCTAGTCTTTAACTGGAGAGGGGCTGAAGAAATATCTGACCATCCATGCTAGCCAATGTAATTTATACCTAATAATCAACAAAATATTCCAAATCACGGCTTCTATCTTTCATATAATTACAAGGTCCTTTTGTTTCTCATGCTTGTGCCGGTTTAATTATCTTATGTTTATACGAATGGTATCATAAAATATTATTTTTAATTAAACTTTATTTTACATGAAAACTTAATAAAATTTCAACTGTAATAATAATATTGTGTACGAAATTTCGATTGTTAGACTTAATAAAATTTTATGGAGTGATCATTGATTGATTAATCAAAATACCATCTTTTAATTAAAAAAATCTTAAAATTAATTTAGATTTACTAAAATAGGTTTTAGTCTACGAAATTAGGATTGAATCTAAAAATACTATTATGAGTGAAGAATATATGAACACCCTTATATCATTTGTTTAAAGAATAATATCAATTAAATACATGTTATCTTTTAATTTTGATATTATGACCTTTTTAATATTTAAAGTTAATTCCTTAAAAATTATTTATGAAAAGCAGTTTTTATTATTATTTTGTAAAAAATTATTATTTGTCTTCTATAAATTCTCCAACACTTTGACGGATTCTATAGAAAATATTTTCATTTATGAAATTTTTAAAAAATTAATCATTCACAAAATTTCATCATAAGATATATATATATTTCATTTATAAAATTGATTTCAAAATTATCTTAACTATTTAGCGAAATTTAAACAAATATTTTTCTTAGAAAAAATTAAAAAAATAAGACTTTCAATTTTTTTAAAAATTCTTACTCAAGAGATTTAATCGAATTAAACACTTAATTAATAATTTTTGCTTTTTTATTATTTCTATTTTATCATTATTTTTATTTTTTTATTATTTAAATTAACCTTTATTTAGTAAAAATAAGTTTTTAGATTATCTCATCTTTTCAGTGAAATCCAAAAACATTTTTACTTATAATAATTAAAGAAAATTGAATTCTTTTAATTTTTTTTTAAAAATTACATCTTAAAAGATTTATTCAAATAATTAATTAATTATTTTATTTATTATTTGCAGTATTTTTATTTTTTATCAAAAAATAAATTCGTGAATTATATCAATAGCTTAGCAAAATTTAAGAAATAATTTTGCTTGTTAATTAAGTAAAAATAGATTTTTTTTTATTTTCCTTAATAATTATTTTTTGGGAATTTAATCTTTTTTATTTTTTTATTTTACGTAAAAATTACCATTTGGTTTGATTTTATGTTTTATTAAAATTATTACTTATTTCTTTAGAAAGGAAAAAAAATCATTTATTTTTTCTATAATTTAAAAAAGAATAATTAAATGAAAATAACAAATACATAAAATCAAAAAAATCAAAATAAAAAAGAAGAAAAAACTTAAATAAAGGTCGGGTCATACGTCGGTCGACACATATGGGTTTAGGCACGAGTCAAAGACGCCTAAACAACATTGTTTTGAATGGCTTATAAAATGATCAAATTTATTTTTTATTTTATTTTTTCTCTCTCTTTTTCATACCTTCTCTATCTAAAATTTTCATCAATTTCTACAGTAATAAAGAAAAAAAAACATAAAAAAAGAAAAAGAAGAAAAAGTATAAACATATAAAATTAACACCAATGTCAATTGGAGGAAGACTTGAGAAGTCTTTCAGGGAGCGTTTCACGTCATTCATGATTTGATCACACTCA